CATTCAAATTCTCTATGCTCACATCTTTCTTTACCCATGTCACACCATAATCCAATTCACACACAAATTATAATTACCATTCATCACCGCACCAAAAAATAATAAAAAAAAAAAAGTTAAACCTTATCAAAAATCAAGAAAACTGATGTAGACAACAAAAACAAAATTACGAAAAAATAAATAAATTTGAAACAAAATACAGAAAAATAAATAAATTATATTTTCAGGATCGGTGTACCTTAGATGCAAAACAAGATTTTGCGTAGTCAATTGCAACCCTTCTTGTGCTGACCATATCCACCGTCAATGGCGGCGACGACTGAAAGGAATGAGGGGCTGCGACCGCCAAATTCAAGATATGTTCAATGCATATCGGATCTCTTCTCCTTTCCTACGTGGACCATATCTATCGGCACCGGACATGCCGTCGCCACAGATCTGACTCCGGCCATGAGGCTCGGTAGCGTTTGTGAGGGGGAGAATATATGAGAGATAAGACAATACATCAAATTAGAGGGTTTGGGAGGAAGAGCCCATACGTCTTGCCCCGTTTTGGGGGCTGGTAAGGGAGGCGAGGGGGTGAGCGTGAGTTGTGAGTTGTGGAGAGAAGGGAGATAAGAGAATGAGAGAGACGGCTAGAGAAGAGACGGGTAGGTTAAAAAAAATTAAGAAAGGGTAAAATAGGTTATTAATAATATAATTTGATGAATAAAATACAATTGGATTTATCTCAAAAATGGAAAAAAAAAGAGGATCTAGTCTAATGATACAATGCATATGAGGGGGTTTTCTCAAATAATCCCTTATATTTTTATATTAGTATGTTATTCATTTATTATGTATGATATAACAATCTAATTTATGTTTGTTTTGCTTTTTTTTTTTTCTTTTTTTTTTTACAGATTCATGGATAGCATCGTCTGTGGTATACGCGGCGATATTAGCAAGAGAGAAGCCATGCGATGTTGTATAACACGCAAAAATATGATTTGGAAATACTGTAAGGAAGGATTTAGAAAAAAAATAGTTATGCATTTCCATTTTTGATTATACGTTAGATAATTGTAAGCTTGGTTTCGATGAAAAAGAAATTGAGATTAATGAACTTGAGCATGTAATAGATTTTATTTAGTGTTTATATATTTTTGTAACAATATTAATTGTAAGCTTGGTTTCGATGCTTATTTAAAATAATTACTTATTAATTTTATATAACAAGCTATTTATTTTCTTACTTACTTTTTGTATCTTAATTAATTAACAAAATGAATTATAGACTGAATATATTTTTTCAAAACAAATGTTGATTACATTTTAACACTATTCGCCATCAGTATAAATTTCAAGTTTCACCATCTTTATACGCCTCACGCCCAACAACAATTACACATTAAACAAGTTCAATTTTTTTTTTTTTAATTCTCATTTATATTATTACACGATTTCATATAATATTTGACAAGTGTCATCAGTTACATTTGACATCTGTAAATTTTTATTTTGTTCGTTCTCTGTTAATTTGTTTCAATTATTTGCAAATTTTATTTTTTGGTAATAAAAACTATTTTTTTTGGTGTTACATGGATTTTTGCAAAAAAAATAAAAATTTCTTCCTTAATTAAAGAAAATAGTTTATACATGTATGAATTCAAAAGAAATCACATTATATTGATTCTGCTGAATATTTAAAACTTAATGAGCGTAGTTTCACTTCGTATTGATTTTCTTTATTTCGAGGATGCAAAATAACAAATTAAATTATTATTTTCTTCAACCCCCAATATAATTTCGAGCATACAAAACGCATAAAAACAAAAATCAGAACGAATTACTGAAAAAACTATATTTTCTCACAAAAAAAATATTCTCACTAAATTATTTGATTGGTGAATTTTGTAAAGTAATTAGTGAAAATATTTGGTACAAATCTTTGGAAGAAAATATAATTTTCAAATAACTTGATACTTAAATTGCTGAAGAATATTTTTTATTCTTTTTATTTTTTGTAAAACAAATATTGTGAAAAAAAATTAATATGTTGATTTAATTTTGCACTTTGTAGTTTCGAAAGGATTGATGAATAAAAAAACTAATTTGAAATTTGGCATCCTATCAAATAGCACAAAAAAATATTAAATTACCTTTATGAGCTATAAAAAATTCGGGGTGCATACTGCATATGCATAATAATTTGAGTTAATTTTATTTCATATTTCGATTTTTTTTTGAAATTCATAACATAATCTTTATATTATATATTTAACAAATTATTTCTTAAATCGAATCTATAATCAATATTTTAAAAATAAAATAAACTGAAATAATGATAAACATTAAATTATTTATTTTGTGATATATTTGGTGAAATGCCACGGGAGACCAAACCATTCTCTATATGTGGTGAAATGGTTAAATAATTTTATTTTATTATTTGGTTTAAATGAAATGCATAGAATATCACTAAACACTATTTTGAACAAAAAATGGTGAAAGCGTAATATAGTATATTACGGGTGGGAGATGACCCATTTTTTCACCACCAAAATAGAATTTGGTGAAAAAGTAGGTATAACATCATATTTAAGTGTGGAAAAAAATGGGAGATGACCCATTTTTACTCTCTCAATACATCCTATTTAAATTTTAAAGGGTAAATAGCACTTAACCCATGGGGTTTCACCTTTGTGCACTTTACCCCCCTCTGGTATCAATTTTTTTTTAGGTAATTAAACCCCCTGTGGTTATCCAGCCATCCAATTAACTAATAGAAAATATTAAATACCTTAAATACCCTTTTATTTTTCTATTATTTGCAGGTAAAAAGCATGACTAAACTCTTATATTTTCCTTTATGGAAAAATGTAAATTCAATATGATTTAATTATAAATAACCCAAATTCATAGGACTAAACTACAAAATTTCAGAATTTCTTGAAAACCCGAATCATAATCATCATCTTCTCCGTTCAGGCGTTCACAATCCATTCCCTTCTTCTCCGTTCACATCCTCCACTGCCTCTTTCCTTCCACTGTCTTATCTCCACAATAATCCTCCATCCCCTTCTTCTCCTTTCAATTGCTAACGTCGTCGGAGGCTAATCACCATTTTCGTTCTCCATTTTTCGTACTTGAACCTGTAAAATGGAATTCGGCTTTGGAGAGTTGAATCGAAGAGGATAAGGAGAAATACATCCCTCAAATGAGATTTGCTGAGGTTGGTGTGCGGCGGATTTTCTGAAGGAAAAAATAAAGATTGAGAGGCGTGTGTGCGTGTTGGCGTCGCCGGAGGATAAAGTGAAAGGTTGGGGGTGTGTGTGTGTGTGCGGCGAATCTTCTGAAGAAAGAAAGGATTTTAATTAATTTTTAAAAAGTTTCAATTTAACCACTTTAGTTTCAACATTGTTTTCAATTTGATCCCTTAATTTAAAAAACTATCTGTTTATGGACTGGGCGAGTGAAATGCACTCAATTTGGGAGAGTGAGTTGCACTCTCCGTTAGTTTTAACCGATTCTTAAACGGCCGCTACACCTTGACAACCACAGGGGGTAAAATACTTAAATTGATACCAGAGGGGGTGAAATGCAAAACTGGGAAACCACAAGGGGGTTAAGTGCTATTTACCCAATTTTAAAAACTATTATATATTTTTTTACACTTATAAACATGAATTTGAGGATATACTACTATATGGCATGGAATCATTTAGTATTAGTATTGGTATTTGTATTGATGTTGGTATTGATATTGGTATTCGTATTGGTATTCGTATTGGTATTGGTATTGGTATTAATGTTAGTATTCATGTTAGTGTTAGTATTAGTATTTGTTAGTGTTAGTGTTAGTGTTAGTGTTAGTGTTGGTGTTGGTGTTAGTGTTAGCATTAGTGTTAGTGTTAGCATTAGTGCTCGCGTTTCATAATTCGCGTTCGTGTCGGCGTTGGCTTTGGCGTTGGCGTTGGCATTGACATTGGCATTATCATTAGCATTAGCATTAGCATTAGCATTAGTATTAGTATTAGTATTAATATTAGTGTTACTATTAGTATTAGTATTAATATTAGTCTTAGTATTATAGTGTTAGTCTTAGTGTTACTATTATTGTTATATTAGTATTAGTATTAGTGTTAGCATTAACACTAGCATCACCATTAGCATTAACATTATGTATTAGTATTAGTATTAGTATAAGAATTAATATTAGTATTAGTATTATCATTAGGATTATGATTACGATTAGTGTTAGTGTTAGCGATTGTGCAAGAGTTTTTTGTTTAAGTAGTGGCATCACTGATTCGACGTGGTTAATGATAAACATACATGTTATTTTGCTTATATTATATGCTATCAAGTTCATTACGCATAAGATTCACGTGTCGATTGCATTACAGGAAATATTTGTGTCATTTGATATAAATGATGTTATTAGTTTTAGGTTTTGTGGGTTGCATATTTAATTTATCTATATAATATTTAATTGCACTTCATATCTTACAACTTTGCATCAAGATCAAGAGATAAATTTCCTTCATTTAATTTCATTACTAATTAATCCCCGTGCATCGCACGGGTGAGCTACTAGTTTCCGTATATTTGGGTATGGTGGAAAAAAGTTCACTACCCGCAAACCGGATAGTTAATGCTGTCTTTAGCATCTTTCTCTTTAATCAAAATTCTGGCAATTATCTTTGTTCACTAGGTATTACTATTATTATTATTATTATTATTATTATTATTATTATTATTATTATTATTATTATTATTATTATTATTATTATTATTATTATTATTATTATTATTATTATTATTATTATTATTATTATTATTATTATTATTATTATTATTATTATTATTATTATTATTATTATTATTATTATTATTATTATTATTATTATTATTATTATTGTTCTTCTATTTAATTATCCGGTGCCTATTCAAAATAATAACCAACGTCCCTTGGTCACAATATGAAATTACTTATTTGCCCATGTCACCTTGGACAGGAATAACAAGACGTTTCCAAACAATGAAGTCGGAATGGGGCTTTTCTAAACTTATCTCTATGAAAGTTATGTTTGAACCGTCGAACGGATACCTAGTTGATGACAAGTGTGTATTTGGTGCTGAGGTTTTTGTGGTCAACACTAATGCATTGACCGGATGTTTGTCTCTGAAGAAAACCGTAACTCCTTACAAACGTGATTGGAAGATTCGAAACTTCTCCAAATTGGGAGATGTTTGGAAGTCTGAAACATTCAAAGCAGGAGGCAAAAAATGGTACATCTTTTACTATTAGGGTTGATATTATTTGACACTCACTACATGAAAAGTTGAAAAGGTTGCATCCCCAATTGTTACAAATGCAAAAGTTGCCATTAGATGCATATATTAAGTGATAAAATTTTTTTTGTTGTCACTAATAGCGAAACCCCCTGTGATTCATTTTTATTAACAAATTACCCCCGAAAAAAGCATCTTTTAGGTTTTTGTATTAAAAATGTGGGGCTGATTTTGCTAATATTTATATTACGAGGTATTTTTTTTAGCAATTTGATAATACAAGGGTAATAATTATGCAGTAAACTTTTTACAATTATAATCAATTACAATTATCATTTTTCGAACTTTGCGTATTATTCTTGCACTTGGAATATTTACTAACTTGAGTTTTGCTGATCAATTTAGGAATGTTTCGCTTCATCCGAGAGGATGTGGAGGAGCAAAGGGCAACGGTGTATCTATCTTTTTGCACTATGTTGGTTCCGAGAGTGTGAAAGCATGTTTTACTATACGGATCAAAAACCAAGTTTCCGAAAAACACAAACAAAAAAGTAGTAAGTGGTTTCATTCCCATGCTCATGTTTGCAATCCACTGCCATACATTGCTACTCTTCGATAAAATCAAAACATATGGGATTGTACTAATTAATTAAATTTCTAAGTTCGACCGTATAATATGAATAAATGTTAATCAGATAATACGAGATAATATATTATTGTTTTGTTTCAATCTAATTGTCATTATTGTTTATTTGCAGGTACTCAATGGTTTCCAGATTCGACGTCCAATAAATGGGGATGGGATTCTTTCATAAAGCTTGCGACTATTAACGATCCTATAAAAGGATTTATTAATGAGAAAAATTGTTGTCTTCTCGATATAGAAATCTCCGTCGAAGCTGTTGCACGATAATCTTAATTCTTTAACATGGACTATAGATGAAATGTTAACTAAGCAATTTGGTTATTGATAATAATGTTATTGTTGATTTATTTCTGACGATTACACTATTGAGCTTTTAATTTGATAACCTCTTTTTTCCCAGAATTTGTTTTAGTTTGGTAAATGAAATTGGGTTTCAGCCTATCTTCTACACAGTATTTATTATACAATGTAACTAACTATAACTAACTCTATTAATTACAGTTAGAAATTACTTATTATCGATAACTAACTCTATTAATTACAGTTACAAATTACTTATTATCGATAGAAAGCGTTGAAGCGCCTTTATTAAAACTGTAAATGCAACTTTATATCTACGGGTCGAAGAAGGGTTTTTTGCAATAACTACCCTTGTGTAATCTCTAATTGTCGTAAAACCTCCTGTGTTAAAAAAAATTGGCAGGAACCCCCTATGAAATGTAGTCAAAGATAAAAAAGCCCATAATAACTTATCGTGTGTTGCAGGCGCGAACTTTGCGTCTGAGAGTGTAGTTTTTCACCTTAAAAGACCCAATTACCCTTCATCACAAATTTAAAAATTGCAGATTCAGCCTGATTTTTTTATAAGCACCAAAATGAACTTTTCAATTTTTTTATTTCAGTCCCTTACACTTTCATAAAAGCCCTCTCCTACATCAGACCCAAAAATACCATTGCAGGCCAGCTCAAAAAACTCCTAACTAGCCGCCCAACTCTGCCACCACCTCAGCTTCGCCGCCCGCCTCACTACCTCCCCGCCGTCTACGGCTGCCCTCTTCACCGTCGACCTCACCAAAACCCTCGACTCGCCAAAATCTCACAAATGCCAAAAGGAAAGGTAAGCACCCCCTTTCCTCTGTTCCATATCTCTCAAGGAAATACGACCATTTCAACCGGCGACAGATGCCACAGTTCCACCAAATCAAGCACCACTATGGCGGCGCAATGTTCGGAAAGAATTTCATGGGACGCAGTTGGTGGATTGCGTCGGTCTGAGATGCGAGTGTGGGATGTGCGGTGGTGGTCGACTGATTTGGGCTGTGAGAGGTGGACGGCCGACACCGGCGGGAGTATGGGGCGGCAGTGGGACGAGGTAATTGTCGAGGAAGTTTGAAGGAAGAGGGGCAGCTCTTTTTTTTTTCTTCTTTTTTTTTTCGTTTTTCAAAATATCTTTAATTGGGTTTTGGGTTTTCTTCTTCATTTTATATTAGGGATAATTTTGTCTTTTCATTCAATTCAACAATTAAATTTGATAAATGGGGCACTGTGCAATATAAAGTACAACATAAGGGGGAATTTGCTAATTGTTTTATCACGGGGACTTTTTTGACAATTAGAAATAACACAGGGGGGTGTGTGCTATTAGCTCGGTCAAAGAATACAAAAAGGTGTTGAGTTGAGCTGTTCATGGTCCAAATATTACGAAAAGGTGTGGCGAACACAATTTTTTGGGTCGGAAAGGAAAGTTCTGATCTCGAGGTTGTAGAGGGCATTTCTAAAAATATTTGGTATTGAATTAAAATTTTGGAAAACTCATTTGGGGTGAATTTGTAATTTTTGCAATTTCTAATTTGAAGGGTATTTCAGTCTTTTCAGGTCCAAAAACACATGCTTAATCACTCAAACCACGAGTGTGTTGCTCGTTGAGCTCGTAGGGTCTTTCTTGGCATTGACTAATTTTCGGGGGGGTTTTGTACTAATTGTTTTAATACGGGAATTTTTACGATGATAACAGATTACACATTGGCAGTCCTTGCAAATAACCAATATTACAAGTCCTAGAGTGTGTTAATAATTGAAGTACATCAACCGATATTATTTGTCCTAGTGTGTGTTAATAATTAAGTACATCTGATTTTTTTTTTCAAAATGTAAGTCTCTAGTTGACGATAGTGAATAGAACTTGGGGCAAATGGCAAATAGGTCCATGACAAAGACATTTAATAAAAAAAAGGTACATTCAGCTTTTTTCTCTTGCAAATATATCCACCTCATTCAAACTTATTTGCTAATAAAGAAAACTCTTTATTTATACCAAAATTACCCCCAACTCTTTGAAACACTAATTCAATTCCAATTTCAAGATTTACACCACAATTTAGCCCAATTTCAATAATGAACCAATTTTGACCCGTATTCCAATTTTGACAACTATTGCCGTTGACTTTTTTTTCTGATTTTTTTTTTTTATGAAATGAGGCCTCCGCTGATTGCCGGTCTCTGGCATGTAAGAAAAAAAGTTAATACCTGAGACCGCGATCAACAGCGACTGACCTGCTGGAAAAAAATATTCAGAAAAAAAGAAAGAAAAAAGATCAACACCAGATACTGCGGTCAAAGCCGAAATTTGGCCGGAAAAAACAATTCTAAAAAAAATTATTTTCTAAAAAAAAATATTTAAAAAATGGAGAAATGGAGTTAATGCGATATATTTGTCTAAATCCTAGATAAATGTGCAATAATGATGAAGTTAGAGCATAAATGATGAAATTGATGAAAATTATATAATGAATAGTATTTTAGACAAAACACATGGGGATACATTTAAGTCTAGCCCTATAGGACTATTTGTCATTTGCATTAGAAATTTGCTTGTATTTCCAATTTGAGTTTATTTTTATTGTTAATCGAATTGAACTCGAACGAGCTTCTATCTAATATAAATCAAACTCGATCTAGCACTTTCACCTTTTTTATAAATATAAATGACCTGAAATATTAAAATTAGTATATAAATAAATATAACCATAAATTGATATCATTCTTAGAGGAAATTCATAACTTTTAAGATAATATTCTTAGGTCTCGTTTGGTTGTCAAGACAAGATTAAATAATCTAACTAAACTCAATTGTATTATTGGACCTTGGAAAGTCTAATAAAGAAACATTCTTAAAAGGTAAGATAAGCCATGATAACATAATATTTGTTGATCGACCCGATAAGTGATTGGCGATACCAAACATAAAACAAAATTCAATTATTTAGTTAATAATGGCTAATCTCCCTAACCAAATAAGGCCTGACTAACAAACAATTCAATTTGAAACACAAAATATTAATTCCAATTTCTGCAATTTCAATGAACTTTCTAAATTTTATTTGAAACTGAATTTGATAGCGTCTCTTCGGCACGCTTAGGAAGGGATCTAGAACGAAACTCTATTTGAGGCTCGGTGTTTCAGGTGAACGAAACTCTTTTCCCCAATCGATGGGCCTAATATATTTGCTCTTCAGATTATTGATATGAACTGATTTATGCATTTGTTGGCCATAGGAATGGCAAAAACTCTGATCCGCAAGCTACTCATGGGTATCCGCTCCGATTAAAATTCGTTGCCAAAACCATTAGGGTTTGATAATGGTTTTGTTAAAAGCAATGCAAACAGTCACAATTTTGGTATGATTATGGTTTTACCCCTAATGTTATGGGAACCCGACCATTTAATATATATATATATATATATATATATATATATATATATATATATATATTATTTTTAATTGAACATAATATAAATAAAAATATTATTTGACAGAAATTTAAGTAAAATATGAAATAACCAGGGGAAAATATAACTTTAACACTCTATGAATTACTCAAGTACATAACAAGTTTCGTATCATTTCAGTAAATTGTAGTGTATCCTAAATGTCATACTTCAAAATATATTTTCAACATATTCTAGTGAATAATGCCTTTTAAACACCATTTTGTTGCATTGGAACATCAATTTTTGTGATGTGTCTTATTTCATTTCGTATAATTTACTTAAAAGGTTTGCGTCTTTTTTTGCCATGTTTTTCTTAGAGGTACTGACAATTATTAGCCCTAAATTATTTCATATCACCATAATTTAAATGGTAAATGGTTATCCGTGGGTATGCCCATAAGTTATTTAAATGGATTTAGTATGGTTCTGATTTGATCTATATTAAATGATAATTGTTCTGTTATTACACTATTTCGAGGGTACCCGCTCCACTGTCACTCCTAGTTGCCACAATTATATTTAACGATTTTCTTAGTGGGCTAGTTATTTATTTTGGTTTAGGCCTTTTTGGCATAGAATGTATGAACTATTGAATTTCCAGATGTATAACATATTTTTTTTTATATAAAAATAAGGGTAAATTCCACTTTATCCCTCGTACTCTGCCTGAGAGTCACTTTACCCCCTCGTACTCTCAATTTTATCGATTTACCTCCTTGTACTTGTACAATTTCCCAATACAGCCCTTTTCTTCAATTTTTGTCAATTTTGACTCTAACGCCATTTGGTCAACTCTGTAAATTACAAAATTGCCACTGCCTATAACGCGTCGTTTCTCCTCCGTCAATATTGTCATTTCTTCTTCTCCCACCAGTTCCCCTTCCAAGATATCCCCAAATTGAACCCCTAACTTAGTAAAAATCAAGACCCAAAAATTGATCGATTCCACCCAGTGCAAAGAAAAAAATATATGAATGTGTGAAACTTTCTCTTTTCTAATCTTGAGAGTCAAAATCGAAAAAATTCAATATTTACGTCAATATTTTGACTCTTGACCAAATGGCGTCAGAGTCAAAATCGAAAAAAGTTGATGAAGAGGGTTGTATTGGGAAATTGTACAAGTACAAGGGGGTAAATCGACAAAATTAAGAGTACGAGGGGGTAAAGTGGTTCTTGGGCAGAGTACAAGGGGGTAAAGTGGAATTTACCCTAAAAATAATTGAATTTGAAAAAGTTGGCACCAAATTAAAGTATAGTTGAGGGCCACTCTACAACCTTAATGCGTATAATGCTCATATAACTTCATTTCTACTGATATCATATCATGACATACATGCCAAACTCATTACTAACTTAGCGAACTCCCTACTTCCTACATACGCCAAACAATCGTAAAATAGGCATTGCATCCCTACTTTCCGCTGCTTAGACACAACCAAGGGGCGGGTTGGGTCCGGGTCGGACCCGTTGGGTCCGGATCCGACTTTTAAGGGAC